CCTCCCCCCTCCCCCCCGGTGCAACCTGCCTCTGTCCCCCAGTCCTCTTCCTCCTTCCATCCCCTCCGCCTCCCCGTTTCTCCACCGCGGTGCCACTCTCACGCCGCCGGCAACCACGCAGACCCCGCCTAATCGTGCCACCCCGGCTTGATTAAAGAACAGAGAGGCCCCGGCGCGCGAGGGTTCCTGCCGCGTTGGGTCTTCTCTCTTTCGCTCTCTCGTTTTCCCTTACTATATCACTCTCACATTTCTTGCTTCTTCCGCGTCATCGTTCTTCCTCTCTTGGTCATCGTCCGTCGTAGGATTCTTCTGAACAAGGCCCTTTACACAGGTCGACCACGTGGACGTCCTAACATCCCGAGAAGCCACGCGACTTGACGCGGTGACAGCACGCGGAGATGGCGTCCATCATCTTTCTTCTCCTCGTGACCTCACTTCCTCCTCGTTTCGCCGTTCATTCGTCTCTTAAACTTCCCTCTCCTTCTCCCCCGTAGATTGAGATTTCAAGGTTACTTCGAGAGGGTCGTACATATACAATTGCGAACTTGTAACGAACCTTCAGTCTTTTATACTTATTTTAATATACTATACATATTTAAATATGCTTTTTTACCTTTTTCGATCAGTTCTATAATTAGAATTCGATTCTTTGTCTGGATAAAAAAGAATTGCTATTCGATTTCCAAAACTCTATCCACACACACACGATTATACATTCAAACACTCGTATCAAGGAGGTTGTGTCTTGATTTGAAAATTAATCATGAATTTTGAGAAATCTTAATGCAATGTTTCATTCATATACTAGACAATCATATATTATAATATATATGATACCATTTTATAAAATAACTCGTTCTTGTTGTAGTTTCGATAATACTCGATCGAATATTTATTCAACTTTACTTTTCTGATCCACAATCTGCGCAAAAACGTTTGCCTCCCAAATATATTTCCGGCTAATTCGCACGCCTCGCGAGTTCGTAAAAGCTGAAAGAGAACAAGCAAGACTGCCGCGTCTTCTCGACGGCAGTCGAGTTTTCTAAGAAGCGAATTTAGTCGTTGAAAAGCCGAAATCGTGCTCGGATTGATGTCGTTGCAACTATCGCCGAAAGTGGATCGCCGGCGCTGATTTTCAGAAGCGACGTTTGGTGGGTGAACGGACGGTGCTCGATGTCGACGCCGCGGCTGCCGCCGCCGCCACCGCCACCACCACCACCGCCGCCGCCTCCGTCTCCACCACCGCCGACGCCCGTCGCCGAGATGAAATTGCACCGCCGCCGGGCGGAACGAGATGCCGGGACGACGAGCTCTCGCGCGAGAAATATGCAAATCCAATCGGACCGGACCCGCGCGGTCCGCCTCTCGCAAAGCGGTTTACCGAAATGAGTATTTTTCTATTCCGCGTCCGCGCCTTGATTCTCGAACGCGGCGTTTCCGCGCGCGCGTTTCCGTACACGGCCCGCCTCGATTATACGATCCCGTTAATTAACGAATTAATTGCTCGCTCGTGGCGAACGTGTGGCGACTCCTCCACGCGGTAGACGCTAACTTACGAACGTCAATCTTTCAGATCCTCTTTAGATGATAATTTCTGATACAGAAGCTCACGTAATAAATATAAATAAATAAACGCGTTGTTTAGGCATTAACTAACAATAAGATACCCTCCTTCAATTCTTTTTAGAGTGGAATTTTACTCTAAAGAGTGAAAATTGAGTCAGTTTTGAAAAAAAGTGACTCAATTTTTAATCCTTAAGGCCCGATTTTTCATCATCTGATTATAACTTGTGGTTTAGACTTAACCTTTCTTAGCTTCATAAATGTAAAAAATTGTATTTCTCTAAGCTACGATTAATCACTGAACTAATGATTTACTAATGATTTTATAGTGTGCGTGTGTATGCGTGTAATAACTGTAAAAGTTACAGAATCGTCAACTTTATAATAGTTTTAATACTTTATCCAAATTATGCAGATAGATTTGTAATTTTAGGTGGGCCCTGGTAAGACATCTCAAATTTTCGGCACTTTACTAAAGAACCACCTTAACGATAGCTAGAAAAAAAATATCATTTTTACATTATCGTCGGGTTAAGCCTAACCACGAGTTAATCAAAAAATGATAAGTCGGACTTATGAGTGAGATTCACTCCAAACGTTTCAGAAAATATATATTTTAATAATTTAGATAATATTTTAATTAATTTTAAAGAAACATGTCTAATGGTTTCAAAAATTACATGTTATTAATCGCACGCACAAGTGTGTTCTTCATTAATTTCTTAAATTACGTAGATAACGTCGCTTAAATGCGACACGTTACTTTTAAAGCACGCCGATTTAGCCATCTACAATGTTTTTCCTTTCTTCCACAGTCGCTCTTGAAGACGGCCGACCAGCTAAAGATCAAGGGCCTGTGCGAGGTGCCGGAGAACAGGGACGGTCCGCCACCCGTGAGTCTGAGCTCGCCGCCGAGAGAGTCCGGCACCCCGAGATTGAACTACACGAAGCTGAAGAAGCACCATCAGAGATACAAAAGACCCAGAATCGAGCGGCCCACATTCGAGCCGCGTCCTACCGATCCGAGACACTACGATCGCTACAAAGAGGAAGAGGCTAACGATTACAGCCGTGACAACAAAGAGGTAATTTCATCGAGCTAACAGACGCACTCTTTAAATCTGAATCAGTGAATCATAATCGTTGATATCCTAAATATGCCATTCAGGACATCAATGAATTCACAGTGTTGAAATTCGACTAAAAAAAATCAATAAAAACGTAAAATTTCTAACCAAGTCTCTATCTTTCCAAGTCTAATCTTTAAGAGTAAAGCTTTATGAGTGAAATCTCACTCTTAAAGATTGAACATTCAGTCACTCCTTTTTAAAGTTAGCTCAATCTTCATTCTTTAGAGTGAGAATTCATTCGAAACAATTTAGAGAGTAGTCTTACTTTTGTGTGTAAATTTAATCTGTATGATATTATGGAATTGGTGCTGGAATTGACATGCAAATATTGAAATTATATTATGCTCAAACTCCTTTTCTTTTTTTCAGTTGAATTTCACCACTTTTTATTGAAATTTAGAGAGTAACCAAGTTTTTCAATTCTCTGCAGCTACTGTGGCAGTACTAAAATGATCAAGGCTTAATTCTAAATAATGTTTTATGAATATCGTAAAGAATGTTTGGCGTTTATAATTATTCCTCCGTCGTAACCATGTGAAATTTTTCACCTTATGTCAACAATCTGAATCTTTGTGCTTTAGTGCAGATTTTTATCAGTTGTTTCCAATGTATAAAAATCTGAAAAAAATTCTTGCATACTTGCGAAAGCTTCAACAATGAATTTTTAAAAGTCAAGTTGTATTGACTTTCACAAATTTAAACTTATCTAAAGACAAATAGATTATTTATAGGAAGGATTATTTATATATGATAGCAATTCTGAGATTTTTTTAAAGAGGCTTTCTTAATTTATATATATATATAATTATATAATCATATATATTTATTATAATATTGTTCTGAGATTTTTAGGAAATTTTCTCAAGTTAATTACGTAGCCAGATGTCATTTATTAGATTAAGATTCGTTAACGTAGAGCGTAATTTGATATTTAATTCTTAGAAGCTCTTATGTGAGCTCAATAAATATTTTTTTTTTAATTGTAAATTATGCTAATTATAAGGAATGCGTTTATATTATGAAAGAATTATCGCAGTAGATAGTCTATTTGAATTTAACAGTAGTGGAAAATTGATTTTGCAACGCGTTGAAAAGACGAAGTGAGGCATAAATACAAACGCAATGGTTCTCCCGTGTTGGCGGGCGCGCGGTTCGATCTCGTCAGGGTCGACGCTAAATTCGTACCGGATATTCCACAGAACCATCGGGACTGGCAGGCTGAAGATGAAGAGTGCACGGAGACAGCAACAGCAGCAGTAGCATTGGAAACTTGCCAACGTAATAATAATAACAATAACAACAACAACGGTAACGGCACGAGTAACAACAGTAAGTAGATCAATCGAGATTTTTGCCCCACACCTGGATATATGTCGGACTTTATTTCTTTTTTTTTTGTTTATTTCTCATGAAACGTAAATTTTATAGAGCTTTTTTATTTTCATGAAAATTGCAGTATTAATTTTCAATTCTATTCATTTATTGAAATTTTTTTTTTTTTTTTAAATAATATGTATCACACACACACACACACACATATTATACATTTTAAAATAATATATCTCGCATAATATGTGCATTGCATTTTGCATTTCAGTAAATAAATAACTTATGGTCAAAATTAAAAAAAAAAAAAAGACAAGAAGACACTTGCGTCGCGATTATTCGGAAGTTTCCAGGTGTGGGGCGATTTACTGTTTTCAAGATCGATTTGGACGGACCCCTTTCACGTCGAATAAAAAGGTGACATGTTCTGTCACACAGGGCTAGGGCATTATGGCCACCATCCGGATCCCGGAGAGGTCGATTTGCCCCCCGAGACTCAACCCACCCCACCCAGCGCCACCCTGGTCGGCACTACCATCACCCACTTGAGGGATCCGGATCATCATTCTACAGGTATAAAATTTTACGTTTCTCGAATACCGTTTCTTCCTATTTTCCTCGAAAATAGCGGTTCTCGGTGATGATTGCCGCAATTGTACATGAAAATAAAACGTACATGAAATAAAATAATCATTTTTAATCCTTATGAATTCATAAGGATTCTTTTTTTAAATCGATATTTTTACTAATAAACAGTACAAAATGAAACTGGACCAGACATAATTACGAAGCTAAGCAGACTTGGTTGCGAAAAGATATCATGAGATGCTTCTTCGTTATGAAAAAGATAATAAACGAGAGAACGATATGCATATTTTAAGAAGTATAAAGGACCCTTTTTTCAGCACGCAAATGCAGTAAAAATACAATTTCCAAGATGATAACAATTTACAATACAATTTCAAGAGGATAACGTTTAGTAAGCATATATGTAGGTCAATCGAGAAATTTTTCGGAAAAGAATAAAAAGATTATAAAAGTAATTTGTTTAATTGTGTCAATTTTACTGCACTAACAAGTTGGCCTTTTAACGCGTTCCATGCCACGTGAATCATCAATGACTCACGTTTGACTTTCCATTCAGATCGTTTGATGTTTCGACTATAAAAAAAAACGTAATTGTAAAATGATTGTTTATCACACGTAGATTCATAATTATAATATATGATGCAATCTGGTACATTAGACTCATAATATATGATGCAGTACAAGGTGTGTACATTGGATAATCTTCTTTACAATAATTTTTGTAATTTTTTAAATTATTATGAAATATTAACAAATGTAGCAAAAAAAAAATATCATGGATCATCAACGTGACAGTTAAACTTATTCGCATGAAACGTGTTAAATTAAAAATATTTCTCCGCAAGATTTCTTATTGGCTTTGCGCGACTTAGAACGTGCGTCACTTTCGCGAAGGCTATACTTCAATGACCAAATATATCCAATTTTAATAGTATAGATGATCATCGAGTCTTGTTTAGCCCAATCGCGTGATAGAAGTTTCCCGTTTACTCGGTCCATTCAACGTCGTACATTTCCTTCGGACGTGAGGGCGCGGCGAGGGGTAGAACACTACCGGGTTGAAAGTACAGCCGGTCATTAGGCGGACAGGGAATCAAAATAATTGGCCTAATCACGCTTAACTGGTCGCGATTAGATTTGCGTTGCTCGGTCCGTAGCAGCAGCCCACGCAACCTCATTTAGCGTCCTCCTTCCGCGTCCAGTTTTGCCTTCGACAGCGCTCGCTTATCGATCCTCAGGTACCATCGAGGCTTACCGAGTAACTTTCCCGTGAGTCCCACGGCGAAGATATACATATAACGTCGCGATAGTTATTACCGAGTTTCCTCGGTGCAAAGCGCCAACAGCAGCGTCGGTGTCATGCCTGTTTCCCGCGATCCTGTTCGCAGAGATTCAGAATTGCGACAGCGTCAAGATCAAGTTCGAAACGCTGCACACGATGGACTCCTCGGACACGATCGACATAGATAGTCACATGTCGGATCGGGCAAGCGTAAGCTCGAAAAACGCCGCCGACAGCGACAACATGATGATGATAACACCGGAGCTATTGGGACTGATGCCATCGGGAAGCTCCGGTCAGTCAGACTCGGGTGAGAATAACTCAAGGGGGCACAGCGGACAGTCCAGCTCGCACCATCACGGCTCGAAGTCGTGGACGCAGGAGGACATGGACGCGGCTTTAGAAGCGCTGAGGAATCACAACATGAGCCTGACGAAAGCTTCGGGTAAGAAGAAAGATATATTCCGAATTATTGGATAAGAAATTATTGGAAATTTTACTCTTAATTGAAAGTTCAGTTTTTCCTACAATACACATAGTGTACATATGTAGAGCTAAAATTTCTGTGAGTAACCGTCGTTGACTACGGATTGCGTTTAGCCAATGTAATTTAACGTGTATAATTATATGCATAATGACTTGTGTAAAGCTAAAAAAAAATTACACAAGTACGGAGATCTAATTTAAAATATGTAGCTCATAGTACGAATATCATATATGAAATAATTAAATGTGAAATTTTATTAATATTTCAGCAACATTCGGTATTCCCTCAACGACACTATGGCAACGGGCGCATCGATTGGGCATCGACACACCGAAGAAAGACGGCCCCACGAAATCCTGGAGCGACGAGAGCTTGAACAATGCCTTAGAAGCGTTGCGTACCGGTTCTATTTCGGCTAACAAAGCGTCCAAAGCATATGGCATACCTTCCAGCACGTTGTATAAGATCGCCAGGAGGGAAGGTATCAGATTGGCCGCACCGTTCAACGCGAGTCCCACTACCTGGACACCCTCCGATCTGGACCGCGCTTTAGAAGCAATAAGATCTGGTCAGACGTCCGTACAGAGAGCGTCGACGGAATTTGGTATACCTACGGGGACTCTTTACGGAAGATGCAAGCGGGAAGGAATCGAGCTTAGTAGAAGCAATCCTACTCCATGGAGCGAAGATGCTATGACTGAAGCTCTCGAGGCCGTCAGGTATCGATAAATGACTCTTCTCTTCCCTTGACTCTCTACGTTCAATAAAATCGTACTACAGATAGATCGATATACTTCAATGATTCAACATGAGAAAACGATAATAATTAGTGTGGATTAAATTAAATTTATTTTATATATTTTTTATTTATTGTACAATATATATTTTGAAAACTTAAAATATTTGCAAAAGATATTTCTAGTTTCTTTGCAAAATTTTAGTTTTATAGAGCACAATGTATAAATCTTTATTTATTGTACAATATATACCTTGGAAGTTTAAGATATTTGTAAAAGATTTTTAATTCTTTTGTGAAGTTTCGATTTTATCGAACACAGAACATGAATGAAACTTGTATGACTGACGCAAATTTCTATGATGCAAAATAAATATTTACATTGCTCCTGAATTTACTGTTACAGATTAGGACACATGAGCATAAATCAAGCGGCAATCCATTATAATCTGCCGTATTCGTCACTATACGGACGCTTCAAGAGGGGCAAATACGAGGAACCCGTCGTCGGTGATATCTCGCAGGATGGTACCAGTCCACATTTCCATCAGAGCCCTAACCAGAATCACTCATCCGCCCTTCCAGATCAAATGCCTTATCCGGGCAGTTGAAACTTACCTCTTTACTAGAGTATTAAGTTAACTTGCTCCGAACTTTTCGATTCGCGGCAGCTCCTCAAACAACTCTTTAAGCAAACATGCGCGGGCGGCATTCTGAGAGATTAGATACCGATCGGAAAGAGAATGTCATTACGAAAACACACATCTACGATAGCGAAAAATGAAGATTTATCCGCAGTATTAAAAATGGATCGCCGTAAGCAAGCATGTGTGTACATTGTATGATTTTTTTATCGTCGGGACAAGAAACGTAGATTATACTAATTTATAAGAGTTATTTATAAAAAGAGAGCACACTGTACAGAGATAGAGGGGGGTGCCCCAACGAAAACTACTTTTAGCACGTAAGCCACTTATGAAGCGTTAGATGAGGATATTGCAACGGATGACAGTATGTATTCTTGTTAAGCAAAATCAAAAAAAGTAATGCTATCCGTCAATTGACAGTAAGAGATTATAGCATTAATTTTCTGAAGACTCTTTAAATTCCAATCTCCATTATTATTAAATGTTGTATTAGGTTTCACAAATGAATTCTCGAAAGTGTTTTTTTTTTTTTTTTTATGATTTTGCATAATGAGGATACATTCGTGAGCATGTGTCGATAAGAATGAGAGCGTATATTATTTAGTAGTATCCACAAAATTTGAATACATAATGAGAAAAGCCACATTTGTTATAATATGCGAATGGCTGAAACGAAATGATATAAGAAATAAAATTTATTGCAATTTTAAGGACATACGATTCTATTTTCTAGATGAGTTGTGTCTTCATGTTTTATTTTACACGAAATTAGCAAGTGCATTTTATTTATTTATATTAAGCAAAGTTAATTAAAGCGAGTCAGTAGCTTGAAAACAGAAACAACTCGTGTCTATTCGCAGAATGGCATTTTGGCTACTGTAGTTCGACGATATTGTGACGTGAAGAGTTTCATGAGAACTTATGCGCTAATAATTTAAAACATAATGGACTGATAATGATTAAGGTCTTTAATTTTTGTGTTATCAACTTTTCCGTTTCATTTGTTCTATTAACGAAAGAGGGATAAAAAAGAGATGAGTTTTCCATGATGGATAAGATGGTAAATATTTACGGAATAGATAGATACGGCTTTTAACAGTTTCTTAGAAAAATTTAAGATTCCCTCAGCTCAACTGCCACTTATATAAATATGTTACACACATTATTAATTTATCATGTTCATTAATTACATTACATAAAAATATACATATAGATATATGCTACTTATAAATATATAAATATATATATATGTACAGTATATATATATTTTAAATTAAAAAGTAATGCAATCAAAAAAGCGTTCGATTCATATAAGTCTAAGATTCCCTTTTTTTTCTTTTTCTACTAGACACATCACTTCTTTATAACTCCTAGATTCGGTTTTTCATTTTCTAGTTTGTGATTAGATTTGAATTTGATAATAAAAATTATATTTTTTTTAAGCTATAATTAATTAAGTTTATCAATATATAAAACCATCAATTTAGTGATTAACGATAGTTAGAAAAATACAATTTTTTTTACATTATCATTAGGTTAAGTTTAACTACAAGTTAATCAAAAAACAAAAACTGCGTTTTAAAGATTTCATTCAATAACTGCGAGAATAAAAATATTTAATAACAGTGCTAAAGATTACATGTTTATTATAAAATAATGTTACACAATTTTGGTTACTGAATATATTAGTTTAAAATAAATACGTTTTATAAAAATCAGAAAATTTATATTAGAAAATATCAATTTTTACGAAAAAATTCCAGTTATCTTAGTTGTATCAGCAAAATATTTTCGTATTATTTCTTTTTTCGATGTACAAACTTTTTTTGATAATTGAGTTCATTCTTAAAGCGTCTTGTTACAAACAAATATTTCCATCGTGTACCTTGCGGGTAAGACCATCGCATAATGCACTTGTTCTTAAGCTGAGTTGAAAATCCTGGACGCTTAGGTAGTAAGTAAGCAGCGTTTCTAATAAATACAGGATCTTCAAAGTATCCGTGCTGATGACTAGTGTACTCTATCTTAATATCGGTGAATTCACTTAAGCAAATAAAATTCCATATTTGGAGATGTTGAATCATCTCGCTCGAGCCAACTTCACCAGCATGCCCCCACACTGGTACTATAAATAAAATAAATTCGTTCGCATTTCGTTTCGCTAAGCAAAAGATCGCTCTGAATGATGAAAATCTAAGAATATGATTATCACAAATTTACTTGAATGCTTTTTTGCCATAAAGTATACAGCTAAGGCTTCATTAACTCCACCGAGCCTGCCTACATGAATGTTCCAAAAATCGATCCCGCCATATTTCAAGAATTGCTTGAATAGGACGCGATTTGCGCACGTTTCGCCGCAACTCACTCGCACTGGATACTTCAACTCTTTTAGTGCAGCTCGTATCGCAACGTGTCCCAAGACATCGTCGGAAGATGTCGGTTCTTCTATGCAATAGGGACGCGTTTTATTGAAACCTTTCACGGAAGCTATTGCTTCGTGCTTGTCCCAGAATTGATTCGCGTCCACTATCAATGTCTTGTTATTACGCTTGCCTATCACATTTCGTATGAGATTACATTTCTTCCAGCTCACAGGAATGGTCGGGCCTACACATGTTTTATACTCTTTAAATTCTAGTTTCTTAAATTTTTTGCAAGCACTTCTAAGTTGTTGATTGCTAAAAGACCAGCATCCGATGTCGGCCGTATACGCTGGATGCCCTTCACTTTCTAATATCTTCTTCCTTTCTTCTTGACGCGACTGGACTTTCTTGAGCATTTCTATTGCCTCCTCCTCGGTCACCACATCTCTACTATAATAAAAAAAATATATAAGAAATTTCAAATATTTAATATAACAATTTAATATAAAATATTAATATTCGAATGTGTGTGTGTATGATTTTTAAAAATAATTGTGGCATAAATAATGCCACACGACAGGTTTTAGTTTACATATATCTAAAATCCACAGTAGAAACGAGTTGTTCGGGTGTCATATCCGTCAACAACTTCCAGACGGGTTTATCCTCAATACGTGCCCATAGATCCCACAAAGCGTTCACGATAGCTGCTGTAGCTAAGTGTACCACACCGCATTCCGCTCCTAGCTAAAATGTATGAATCATACCTTGAATCATTAT